TGGTATCAAAACAAAAACAAGAACACAAATGTGTACAAAATGTCCCCACCTATGGGTGATCCTGTCAAATGGTTATCCTAAAAATGAGTAGACAAGACTTTACCGACACAATTTGATGACGGAAAATCCAAAATGGCCACCTTAAAATTTACCTAGAATGCCAAAGAACTAATCAGATCTAGATTTTCATACTAAGAATCATCCCTGAAAATTTGAAATTGATCTACAAAACGGTTCACCTAAAAACGCGTAGACAAGACTTTACGGGCAGGATTTTAAGATGGAAAATCCAAAATGGCTGCCTTGACATTTATCCAGAATGCCAAAAAACTAATCAGATCTAGATTTTCATACTAAGAATCATCCCTGAAAATTTGAAATTGATCTACAAAACGGTTCACCTAAAAACGCGTAGACAAGACTTAACGGGCAGGATTTTAAGACGGAAAATCCAAAATGGCTGCCTTGACATTTATCCAGAATGCCAAAAAACTGATCAGATCTAGATTTTCATACTAAGAATCAACCCTGAAAATTTGAAATTGATCTACAAAACGGTTCACCTAAAAACGCGTAGACAAGACTTAACGGGCAGGATTTTAAGACGGAAAATCCAAAATGGCTGCCTTGACATTTATCCAGAATGCCAAAAAACTGATCAGATCTAGATTTTCATACTAAGAATCATCCCTGAAAATTTGAAATTATCGTGAAAAATAAAACTAATTACCAACTTATTACCAACTAATTTACAACTAATTATCAACAATTCTGCTGGCAATTGGAATTAAAGTTAAGCGTTAATTAAATCAATGATAATTATGGCCTAATTATCAGTAGCAAGTTCAACGTAAATTAACTTACAATAATGCTGATTTATGATTTTTAGTTGATAATTAAGATATGAAATGTTTGAGGGTGATAGTTAGTGGTAAATTAAAACATTTTTGGTCTGAAGTAGATTATTGGTTGATAGTTAACATATAGGATGATTTTAATGATAATTAGTCGTAAATTAGGCCCATGATTTAGAAATACAAACCCCCTAAATTTAATTTCAAAATGGTGGAAAAAGAAAACATGTGAGAGATATTTCTCTCATAAAATTGAGAATTACAACGTGAATGGTGCGTATACTACCATGAAATTTGGTCAACATTATCATAAGGGTATGTAGAACATGAATACAATGTATGTTAAATCTTATTCACACTTCTGTCTAAATTGTTTATGAATTTAAAAATTTTTGAATCAGATCATATAATATTAATCCTAGAATGCAATTTAGGTACTAACATGGGTTATCTATATTTCACAAGTAATCCAAATGTGCTCTTCTAAATAATGATTGTTAGATCAAAGACATTTCAAAACATATTTTTGATTATATCTGTTACGTCCTTATTATGTAACATTATAGTCTAATGTTTGTGTTCTGATTTTAGTTATTGATGGCAATAATGATGTCTTCACATGCTTTTCATGAATCTTAAAAATTTGCAAAATAGAATTAAAAAAGAGGGGGAGAAACCCCAGGGTTCAAAGATGACATACGCTTATAATGTAAATCTGTATTGAGATGACATCGTCGCTGATTGGTTTAGCGAGTCGATCGTTGATTGGTTTAAATCTAGGTCAATTTGAAAACTTTAAAAACCAAGATGGAGGGTACGTTTTCGACAAAAGAAGGTGTGCGAAGGAGGAAATCTTATGTCATCAATTGAATCATGGGGTTTTCCCTCCTCTTGCTGTGAAATTTCAATAGTTCAAGTTGAATTAAGATGAATATTCCGTCACAAAATAGTTCAAGATGAAGCAAAAATCTCCGAGTGAAGGGAAGCAAAAAAGAAGCGATTCATTTTTGAGATGTCACAAATCTGACTTTAACCTAACTTTCAACTAATTATCAATAGTAAGTTAGGTGATAATTAGAGATTAACTTACATCAAACTTACAACTAACTTTCAACTAATTAACGTAAATAGCTCATTTGCATATTGATGGTAGTTAATCGTTAATTAAGTTGCAAATTAAGCGTTAATTAAGTTGATAATTAGCTCATTTGCATGTGAATTTTTACACCTAACTTTCAACTAATTATCAATAGTAAGTTAGGTGATAATTGGAGATGATTTTCCATAGGCTTTTTTCAATTGGGGATCTACCAAACGGTTCACTGGGAAATGCGTAGACAAAACTCTAAAGACAAGATTTTAGGATGGAAAATCCAAAATGGCTGCCTTGACATTTACCCAGAATGCCCAAATACTGATCAGATCTAGATTTTCATACTAAGAATCATCCCTGAAAATTTGAAATTGATCTACTAAACGGTTCACCTGAAAACGCGTAGACAAGACTTTACAGACAATATTTTATGACGGAAAATCCAAAATGGCTGCCTTGACAATTACCCAGAATGCCAAAAAACTAATCAGATCTAGATTTTTATACTAAGAATCATCCCTGAAAATTTAGAATTGATCCAACAAACGGTTCACCTGAAAACACGTAGACAAGACTCCACAGACAAGATTTTAGGACGGAAAAATCCAAAATGGCCGACAATAAAAAAGTGATCATGAGTTTTTGCTGATTTCTTTTTACAAAATTATCACATATAACTACTGTTAACAATAACATAGGCTTTAACAACAAAGTACATCTGAAATTATTTATAAAGCTACTAAATAGTTAGAATATGAAAACTCAAAAACACCATTCAATATGATACAAAGTATTATCGTGCGCTAACTTTTCTTAAGACATTCAAAATGGCTGACATGACTGAGCTAACAGGTCCAAAACCTAATCAGATCTAGAATGAAGTGAGCTGAACAAGATGTTAAAGTTTTAAAAGCAACTGTGAAGCCGTTTTTCTTAAAGTTTGCAGACAAGGATTTTAGCATTTGACTTCAAAATGGCTGACAGGAAGTTGGTATCGAGTTAAATTTTTTTCATCCACATCTGTATGCACTCATAAGTTATTCCTGAAAATTTGAAGGTAATATCTGTAGCGGTTTTGGAGAAAACTCCCGGACGTACGGACGGACAGACGGACGGACGGACAGACGGACGCGCCTAGGCCGACAATATGGCCCCACACTATGTGGTGGGGACATAATGAAGAGTTCAACTTTCATTTTAATTGCGAAAATAGGGATGTAGGTCACAAATAGTTCAACGTTGGCATTTTACTACCTGTGTGGCCATCTCAGAACTGAGCAAATGTTAGCAAAGGCGAGTTACAATAAATGGATGCTGCTATCTCGAAAAGTAACCTGGTTCCCTATAGTTTGATGTAGATTAATCGAACCCTTATATGGATAGTCTACATTTTAATATAACACTATGGGGAGTAAGCGTTTCATAGTTGGTCACGAATGCCATAAGTACAAAGTATTGTTCAGAATTTTTGAATTTCGTGTTGGATTACAGTACTCACACCTGAAGCATAGTTTTTGTTTTTGATGAATTACAATAACGTTTAATAAGGTTCCCATGCGTATTGTGTGAAATTGTGTTGACGTTTATTTAGTTAACTGCATTATATATTTATATATTTGATTAATCAGTATCTGAAAGTTTGATTTGAGAAATTTATATTGAGTCACAATCAGGCAAATCCCTTGAACGTCCCACGACATCCCGCAAATTTGGGTGGAACTCACGCGAATTTGGGGCACTTTGTCTGAAAAATATGTCCCTCGGTGAAGTCTTTGGTGGTTACCCTGTTAACTGTCCCTCAATTAGCGTGTTTGTCAGATGCTAAATCCCGCGAATTTGATCAAAATTTGGCCTATTATCGCATTCACGCAAATCCCTTAATTGTCCCGCGAATTTGGGGCACTGGGTCTAAAAAATCTGTCCCGCGAGAAAATCTTTGAGGGTTGACAGTACTGAGCGAGCGTATATTTAATGGAGTGCTTTGGCTATTTCCATTGTTCAAATGTTTATTCCTGAAGTCAAATGCCTTTTCTGAGAATGTGACGCCACTCCAGATGACGTCACATAAGAGATTACCGAAAAGTCCCAAGACGTTACTTAAACTCATGTAGAAACAATAACAACGGTTTGTTAGGCTACGTGATCCTTTACTTTCATTGGCTATTTGTTGCGATGTGACGTAATCTGAGAGACGAACAACATCGGACAGTGCCGGAAATTACCGAAGCACTCAATTATCTTTACGCTCTGAAAATTTGAAATAAATGTCCCGGGAAAATTCAAATTACAGCGTCAATAATGGATATCATGCAACCATTCAAACTGGTACATAAAGAAGAGATAACAGGGTAAATATTGATCAATCAATGTCTGACAGATGGAAAAGGTCAGTACGAGGCACAGGAACCTGTATCAACACCTGACATATGTTGCCAAACCTGAAATATTGTCAAACATGAAATAGAATGAGCTTCTACTAATTATGATATAGTCTGTGTATTATTCTTCCGGGTTGGGCCACCAATCGATGTCAGGTGTTGATACAGTTCCTGTGGTACGAGGGTAATTTTTTGAGTGGTCATTTTTTTGATGTGCCATTTTTGGCACCCCATTTATCCTTTGAGCCTACTACCAATAGGGTCTGGATCTGGCTCCGGATCTGTGAGTTGACAGGCCTGAGACAAATCCTGGCTACCCAACTCACTGCATTATCACCCACTGAAAAATTAAATGTGCACACAAAAGCACGGACATCTAATACGTTCTTCGAATTGCCCTGGAACTATATTTAAAAGTATTTGAAGTCCCGGAATTTCGCCAGAAACATTCTCTCTGACTGTGCACAAAAGTATATTCTGAGCTACTTACATCATATTTGAGAATCTTTACATATCTAGGTGGGTCAATCATGTAATTCTTATGCTTCTTTAAATAGAAATGACAATTTGTCTCTATCATTTTGGCTATGGAACTCCTATGTTCAAAAAGTACTTTTTTTATTTTTCAAATATCAAAATCTCGTGTGAAGTCTCGTCAAATCCCTGAAAACGAGACTTTCTAAAAATGAAAATGGGAACAAAAAATTCGGGTGTTAAATTTGCTTTTGAAGTAGAGGAACGTGTACTGTGCTTTGAACCAGACCCTTCCAAAGCAAGAGTATTATATGAGGCCAAGGTATGTCTTACAAATAAGCCAATAGTGCCTTGTTTCTGTCTATATTGAGATTATTTTCATTTGTTGCCCATTGTTTATTTTTCATTTCAACTTTTCATGTTTTTGTAATTGTCATTTGTGCAGCTCTCTGTTCAAGAGGGAAAAGTACTGTACATTTCTGGAGGTCTAATACAGAAAGTGTCTTGCTCTACCACTTTTCCAAATGCGTTTGCATTTTCAAAGAGTTGCAAACAGAATTGCAAATTCAACAACTTACAGGATTAGATTACAGCAAGGCCTTTCAACTAGATGAAACCCCATGATTTCAGGGAGGCAATTTCGTCCCTGTACATCACGGTGCCCATGTCAAGCTGCGCACCTACTTAGGCGCGCAGTTTGTTTCGATGGGGGGCTTCGATCACAAACTGCGTGCCTAAGAACATTGCATCATTTAAGTTGGAGTCTGTATTTTGAAACGTAATTTAAAGACATTTATCCTGCATTGTTTCCTTGTTCAATGCGTTCATTCTGTGGCGAATGTACGAATCTTGCAAATACTAGCAAAAACTATGTGCAAATGAATCTAAGTTTTAAAACATAAAGAAGATTAATGGCATTTTCGTCACTGATTTAACGGGAATTCATACGTAAATCAATCTAGCACTTTAAACATAAATGACAAATACTTTAGACTCGTTTTATATTTAATTCCTTACACATTTATCATGTATAATTCAAAATATTTCGAGATAAAACAGATAATCAGGAGATTAAAAAGAAAGAAATCACAAACTGCGCGCCTATTTTAGCCAGAAATTACAAACTGTGCGCATACACTATTTCTACAGAGGCACATGTAGGTGTTTTTCATGTAGCTTTGGAAATTTTGCTTTATCGTCAGATTTTATGAGATTTTCATATTGAAAGTCAAAATGTATAATAGAAGTGACAATTAAGATGGGAACGAAAAAAACGTTTATTTTCAGATCACCATCTTGGTGGATGGACTCTCATAGTGTTTCAATTATGGGGTTCTACTATTAGACACATATGTGCCTTGTATGGCGATTATGTTTTCTAATAATACAAAACAAGCTTGGATGGACAAGCAGTTTGGAAATATTAGGCACGCAGTTTGGGAAATACATGTGAATATAGGCGCGCAGTAAAGACAAGAAAAATGTTTAAATCACGTTTATGTCGTATTATCGTTTTGAACACAAACTTTGCTGATTTAATCAGATGGAGTGATCCTATATATTCTAGCATACACAGACACAATGGCTGAATAAACGGCAAATGACGATAAAAAGACATAGATATAACTTTACACTGTAAATTTTGAACACAGAAGTTACTTAAGACCCTTATATTGAGATAACTAGGTTTACATCGGGAAAAACATTGAGTACTATGAGTAAATTAAGTTCATCTTCACAGAATGAAGAATGGAATCTTTAGAACGAGACTAACCTTGTATTTTTCGTATTTTGGCTCTTTTTGGGAGTCGTGTCCTCCCCGTCTCACATTTTGAAATATGCGCGCAGTTTGTCAGAGTTTCAAACTGCGTGCCTAGTAAGCACGCTGCTTGACATGGGCATCGTGTACATGTAGGTAATTGTCAGACACTTTAGAATGCAGGCCTTCATTTGTCTGACAATTTCCTACATGGACGACATTGCCTTCCTGTCATATAGAAAGGTCAGCGCAGTAAGTTCAAAATGATTTATGACCCAGAATGTCTTATTGTTTTGTGCTTGTTATAGGTACTTGAGTTAAAGGTTGGGAGAGATTCAAATGGTCGACGCAAACCAGATTATTTGATTCATTTCCAAGGATGGAACAGTAGGTACGTAAGTTATTTCATGTCACTTAATTCTACACTTTATCAAATACTTTTTTACTTTACTTTCACTTCACTGTTTCCGGAAGTACCCGGATTTACCAGAGTACTAATGCATTAGCGTTCGGTATTTCATTGCACTTTTCTCAGACTTTTTCACGATGTTCATCGCGATGTGTATCGATGTTTACTCCTGAAAATTGCCAATGCATCAATGTACGATTATGGCACATCGTGACAACACTAGCATTGACATGTACCATATCCCTTACATGAGGGCAAACAGGTGCTACACTCTATTAAGATTTGAAAATATTGCGTGCCATTCCTTTTGAAGATCTGTTAGTAAGCTGTCAAAAATATGGTAGAATCAGAATATACGAGAAGCTTTTGGTAAAAAATCATGGGAAAATCACATTTAATCATGCAATAGTATGTTGTAAGGCATCTACATTCTGTCTTAGTAAACAGCTCTCTCTATACTAGTGGACACTTCCTCCACACATACTCTACTAACTTCTGTATAAATTACCCTTTCTGCTCTATCATGCCATGTAGTGAACTCCTACCAACACTGAAAGTTTTTCCTTGGCAAAAAATGTTCAATACCATGGGCGTAGCGCTATTCTTTTAAGTAGTACGCCACCACAGGAACAAGAGTTGAGCGAAGCAAAAAACGAGCGTTTAGGGGGGTTTGGGTGGTTCTCCCTCAGGAAAATTTTGAATTTGGAGAGAATTTGCATCCATCTAGTACGCCTGTGCGTACCCAGCGTACCAGGCGCTACGCCTATGAATACATATTGTAACTTAAATCATATTATCTCACTATACAATCCTGTGTATTTATTCATTTTAGCTGGGATAGAATTGTGCCTGAGTGTTTCATACTAAAGTTCAGTGATGAGAACAGAGCCCTGGCAAGACGGCTTGCAGTAACAGCCAGAGGAATGTGAGTTGACTCTATCATCAAAAGGGGTCATTTTAGAGGCATCTCAGATCATTGTAATGCCCTGTTTTGTACAAGGAATATAGTGCAACAATTCCCTTGTTGCCCAGTCTTGTTTGGATCACATTTAGTATTCCTTGACAATTCTCATACATTTAACCTCTTGACTACTCGGAGTGACAACATTTCTAGTCACCTAAGAAATGACCATGACACCTAGTATGACGAGATAATCTGTCACAAAACTTTTCACTAAAATTGCTCTAATTTGAACAATTGTCATCCAATTAACACACAAAATGTTTTCAAATGAGTAAAAATGATCTCGATCTGCCTATTAATTTTACTCAATCGAGCATCACCTGTTTTATATGTATGTACTGGTTTCAAATTGATATTAGAGTCTGGGATTCAAGAGGTTAAGGTGCTTATCTGTTGATTGTACAATTCAATAACTATTGTGGGGATTGTAAATGTTCGTTAACTTTAGTGTTATTATTATTATGTTTATTTTATCCATCAGAATTGGTGTGTTTACATGTATAACATAAAATATTACATAAGGGGTTGAAATTATATACATACAATAAAAAAAAATTGTTTATGTACAACCAATCCCTGGTGTTGAGTTAGAACATGAAATTCAAAAAGATGCTAGTTGGTTCAAAAATGTAAATCAGAAAGTGAAAAAATTAATCTAGTAATAGATTGTCTTCATGTCATATTTAGACAGAAAAAAATCAATGAAAAAGGAAAACATACACACATAAGCAATGCAAATTCAAATTAACGTTTTGTAGAAGGAAGAACAAAGCACGCAAGAGAAAGATTGATGATATCCTACGTGAAGTAAAAAAGAGACCAAGATATGACAGCGAGAGCTCTTTGGAGGAAGAGGATGACGATGATGATGGTGAAAGTGATGGGGAGACATTTGAAGCAAGGACTGATACAAGAAAGCAGACAGCAGAATACAAAGAGGTTTGCGTGCATATTATTTTGAATTTTTCTGGTATATACTTAATTTTGCAAATTTTCTTTTTCTTTTTAATTATGTAATAATTAAGTCATAGAGTTAAAATTTTTCGGAAAATGAACACAGTCATATGTAAAATATTAAAATTAAGTTTTTCTGGGATAAAGAATGAACTTTTTGGGATTTTTGGAAAACAAAGTGTAGAATAAAAAAATAATTTAAATATCATACTGTTAGTCATGCAAACCCTTTTTCAAGATACTGTATGCTGTTTTAACTAGTTCAAATGTGTTTCGTGTCTTTCAATTTTCAGAATGATCTTGGAGATATAAAATTATCAGGTGAACAGAAAGAAAATATAGACTCAACAGGGGTGAGTTTATAGTTTTTGGTATCAACAAATTTTATTGTCATTTCACTAAAACTTTAAACCACATTTTCTGTATACATGATATTTATGACTAGAATTTGAACTGATTATAACGGCTGCACTTCATTATTGAACTGATTGTTGCTGTGTATGTCATACAACGTTTACCTATAAATTGTTTTACATTAGGTTTTTCTAAATTGAAAATATACAATTGGTAGATGTTTCACCTATTTCTCATACATTTAATGTTTTCGTTTATATAATAAATAAAACATAAAAGATTGGTTGGCCTAGATCTATCGCAGCTGCATGATGTAAGAAACTGAATTGTTGTCATGGTTACAGGAGAAAGATGATGTCGTTGAGCCAAGAGAAGTGGAACTCCCCATTCCTGACAATCTCAAGAAGATTCTAGAAGAGGATTGCAACAACATTGTCAAAGAAAGGAAGGTAAGTCTTCCAGATTTAAATAACAAAAAAATATTTTTCTTCTGTACTTGAATTGTCTCTAGGACAATTGTATAGTGAACCTCTTGAATCCCAGGTTCTAAAATAGGTTGAAACCAGATAATTTTTCATTTTTGCCAGCTTTTGACATTTTACTACATACATATACAACGGACGATGTTCAATTTAGTAAAATTAGACGGTAGGGATCATTTCTAGACATTTTAAAACAATTTTTGTGTAAATTGGATAAAAATTGTTCAAATAAGAGCAATTTTGGTGAAATATTTTGTGACGGATTATCTCATCACTCTGGGTTCCAAGGTCATTTCTAAGGTGACGAGAAATCTCGTCACTCTGGGTAGTCAAGAGGTTGAATAAAAACTATTGTCGCAAATGTACAAAATATACAAAAATGCATGTCAAAAATGAAAGTCCTGGAGCCTCAAATTAAAGAAAATTAATTTTTGACAAAGTTAAATGTTTTTGATGACCAAAATGATACCACTAAAAGGATTATAAATATTTATGGGCCTATAGATACCTCGTGACATATTCTTATGAGCCTAAATACCTCTTGACATATTCTTATGGGCCTAAATACCTCATGACATATTTTTATGGGCCTTAGTATACCTCATGACATATTTATGGGCCAAAATAGTATAATACCTCATGGCATATCTTTCACTCATATCCTGGGCTTTCTAATTGAATTTCTAATTGACTTTAAAATTAATTCCAGGTTGTGAATATACCAGCAGAGCATAACATAATATCACTACTGGAAGGCTATGTGAGACACTATGCTATAAATACACTGTGTCAAACTAATGATACAAAGACCAAGTCTCAACATGGCAGAGATACCAGAAGGTAAGCCAGAATTCCATAATAATGATGTTATGCATGGTGTTTGCTGTCTTATAAGTTATAGGGTTACCATACATATTTTTATTAATTTATTTCCTTAAAGAATATTATACAATTACAATGCATGAAGTGGAAGACCCCCTTTTGAGGATATTATCCACGAATAGGAATTCACAAAATGAATTGATTAAAGTCATCCACCCTACCCCCCTCTGTAGTCACATTTACATGGTGACTTACTTCAGCTTAATAAGGGATGGCTCCCAAATGTAAGCAATTAGAATGAGGAATTTTATTTATTTCTTTAGGGGTGATGGGTTAATGATAATAACTTGAGGATGTTTTTAAATGTCTGGAAAGGCAAATCAATATTTTAAATGTTCTTTTTACAAGCGACAGAGGCTACATCATAATGAAATTAACTTCATTTGTACACATTTGAACGCAATCGTTAACTCATGAGTGTCAGTGTATTATTTTACAACATGTCTTCCAATATTCTTCCTTTCATTGAAATCCATAAATTATGTTATTGTTATGTTAGCTTATTTTTAAATGAATAGATTAACAATTCATTGATTTGACAGTGACCTTAAAATTAAAAATTGAGCTAGTGACAGTTTTATCTCATTAAAAGGGCAATGCGACTACATGTATTTTTGAAGGAAAAAGGACAAAATATAACTTGAGACATGTTACTCACTCAAATATGATAAAAACTTTAATTTGGGTCAATACTGAAGTGAAAAAAATTACTTGCATAGAAAACAGCATTTGAAGTTTAGAGATCAAAAGAAGTGAATTACCACTTTTCACAAAGTGTATATTTTAAATAACTTTTAAAAGATGGCGTATGATTGAAATTCCTATCAAAAATGAATGGATAATTTATGCAAACAACAATGCCATCTTTCAATGGCATTGGTAAAAATTTGAATCGCTGTGATCTGTTTGAGCTGTTTTTGGTGTCAAATGAAGGATCAGGTACTTATTAATCCATCAGAAATACTACGAAGATCAAATGTGAAACTTCATTTATGCATTTTGTTCCTGAATACTTACGAAATTTTGAATACCTGCAGGCCCCATCAAATCTAAATACATTATTGTCTCTTTTATTTCAGTGTTCACTTATGTAAGGAGGTGATGGATGGATTGAGGGTTTACTTTGACTTCACTCTCCCTGTTGTATTACTTTATAACTTTGAGAGAGCACAGTATGCTAAAGTTTCAACATTATCCAAGCCAATTGATATAAAACAAGAGACAAGGTAGAGCACATTTAATTGTACTACATGTATGAACTGGAGTTTTGGTATCGTGTAATACAGTACATCAATACAAACTGAACATTTGATGATTTTTGTAGTTTGATTCTTATTGGAATGAAGTTGAAGACTTCATATTTTATAATGATTCTAACATGTAAAGTTTAAGTCTTTGCTTTCTGACTTGTACATGTTGACTAATGAGAATGAGAAAATGATGAAGAGGCTGGTTGTAAATTAAATGTGATATTGCATTCATGTGCTACGCAGTATGTGACTTAAAATAATTTGTAAAATCATGACAATTTTCCTCTCCAGTGAACCCTTGCCATCTCCACGGACCAGACGTACTAGTGCTAGACTCCACTCTCCCTCAAGCCCAGTTGAGAGCCTCCCGACCTGGAAACCCAAAAAGGGAGCCCCTAAATCCAAAAAGAGACAGATTGAAAAAGAGGCTGAGAAGGAAGAGGAATCAGAAGCAGAATCAGAAGATGAGAAACCCACTCGAAGAATTACCAGACGCTCATTGGCAATTCCCCCTGACACAAAACAAACCCCCGCAAAAGACACAAAACGTTCAAAATCTGACCACAAATCAGAAAAATCAGACTCAAAAACTGAGGTATCAGAAACAACAAAATCTGAGAGAAAGAAAACAAGACTTTCTATGAATATTAAAACTTCTGAAAAAGATTTAAATCGTACGACTCCACCCCTCGCTCCATTACAGATAGGTCTTCCGAGCACCAAGTCCAGTCATGGATCGTCTTCTCCCGCACCTAAATCTCATACATCCAGTGCGCCATTCCAAGATGGTATGATGTCGTTCAGTGAAAGTGAGACTGTGTTGAATGATGTGTTGTCATGGAAACTATTGCCTAGTGAGGTATACCATCAAGTGCCAGCAACGCCCAGTGTGATGTATGGGGCCCAACATTTACTACGTCTCTTTGGTATGTGACACAATAACAAATCTCAGTCAGTTACATTAATAGAGAGATTTCGCAACTCACTTATAGCATGTTTATTATTCCCATATAACTTATAAAGCGTTTGATTACATTATCATTTATTGCACAGCTGTACATGTCTATAAGTGTGATATTCTTATTATCGTCTTATAATATACGTAAGAATATCACAATCACAATTACAAGATGATAAACATGCTATAAGTGAGTTGCGAAATCTCTCTATCGACACTCAATGTTCACTTATAAAGAGGTGCATGGGCATCACCTTCAACTGATTGCATTAATTATCGGCATTTAAAATGGGAATGTGTCTTTTTAAAAAAGTTAAAAGTTCCCCTCTGAATGAAAGATGATGAACATAATGTATTGTTTAATAAGTATGGATTTACTTTTTCAGTCCACCTGCCAGGTTTACTAGAGAGAACCAGTATGCCAGAACCAAAGCTGAAATCTCTTACCAGACACTTGGAACTATTTTTAGAGTGAGTATACATTGAATATTGGAGTCATTCTATCCCACACCACCATTGACGAAGTGTGTACAATATTTTTATAACCACTACTTTTTACCAGCATTTGGCATCTGTAACCGTTAGTACACTTTCCAGGTATTGATTGGTCCCAATTTTCTTTGTTATAACTCATAGCTTGATTCTAAAATGAGGGTCTCTGTGTACATGTATTAGACATACAGTAGCATTAAATGTGTGAAATAAAAATGTCTAAACTACCTGATGTGTCATTTATTCATAAAGGAGAGTATCGATCAGTATCCAAGAGCTTTGGGTGTATTCTTTTATAGTTCAGGTTTTCTTGGGCCTTTTTAACTCAAGCTGATTGAATATTTACTCTACCTTAAAATCTTGGTAGATCTAGTTAAATGGGGGTGTGAGCCTGGCCTAAAAAGTTATAACGAACCTAATACTAAAGATAATAGTGGTGACATAGCTGTTTGTATAAATTAATTATGTTACACCACCACCACAAGTGGTGACATTGTTATGGTCTCCAAATTGTGGATGGTGTTAGATGGTTGGTGTTTGGCAGTTGGTGTTTGGCATCCAATGTCTGTATCAAATGGGCAGGTGGTGACATTTTGCATGTTTTTGTAAAAAAAGATCTAAGATGAATTAATATTTTCTTTCAGGTATTTATCCACCAAAGCTGATGAGTTGTTCCCAGAGGGAGCATATGTTTCAGCAGATTCCACTAGTAACAATAGCAACAGCAAGCTTTCCACTTGGAGATAAAAGATGGCACTAGTATATTAGGACAAATGCAACTTCATGTACAGGGTGGGCCAAAAATATAATCTTGTAAATCATAGCTTTCTGCTCCACCCTGTACACTGTTGCTCATAAATATGGAATATTTTATAGATACGAACTGTTCGATGGAATTTCTACAAAATGATAACATTTTGATGAAAATTTGTAATGTGTTCTCATTCCCTCACCAGTTTTGCATATAAAACTGATTGGTATGAAAAGTTAAAACATTTATGGTTGATTAAACTTGTATTCACTCAGGTGACCCCATGACTGCATGATATTGGTTACTTGAAAGAGGTGTCCAAATCTTAGTTGTAATCATTGTGCACATTTTATAAAATTTTAATTTAGAGTTGGAAGAGTTTTTCGAAGGCATGCCCAATAGAATAAGCTAAAAAGAGCATGGCAGGTCATAGGAATGGCGCTCTCTGGCATGAAACAAACTGCCATTGCCAGGACCCTAGGGGTCTGTCAGGAACAGTCTCTAAAATTTTGCAGTGGTACCAAATGCATTGGGATATGACTCCAGGTCACATCAATAGTGGCCCTAGAGAGAAAAATGTAAGAAAAGACCACCACCTACTGCATTTATGTCATCAAAATCGCTTATTAGTCAATCAGTAGTCTACGAGGTGAATGGCTGCCCCACCTCAAAACCTGTGTTCAAGAGCTATAGACAACCATTGATTTCTTTATAAGTGATGCAAGGCCATGAGATCTTTAGAGAGACCACAGCTGACCGATCATAACAAAGAAAGGTGCCTTCAATGTGCAGGAAAGCACCAAAACATTGTACCTAATTTTTGGTGTCATATGACAGCATGTGAAGAAATAAGATATGTCCTCCACAAAGTTGATAATTGTGTTCGTTTCTGTCGTAGACCAGGGGAAAGAGACAATAAGGACACTTACTGATGTGGCAGTCCATGAAGACGACCCTATTTATGTTTGGAGCAGTATTACAGAGGTTGTTTGGGGCAGTACTGCAGAAATTGCACCCCCTTGGTGATTCCCAAACATAATTTCAGAGTAATTTGAACTTTTGGACCTCCATCAAGTACCACGTGCAAACAGAGTGTTTTGGGGCAACATTCAACTGCAGAATGATCATGCTGATGATATGCTAGTGGCATCGTGTTGGATTACATCAGGGCAGACAATGTGGACCAGCTACCATGGGGACAAAAGTCGGGCAATCAGGCTAAAGCAGAACAAATGTGGGATGACCTTGGTAATGAGATTCGTGACTTGGACCCCCACCTCAAAATTTAGACACGTTACGCACTGCCCAGATTGAGAAATGGGGCCTTATTTCACTTAGAAAGGTCAGATGTTTCATTCTATGCTGGTCCCGTAAGGTTTATGCTATGATTGCAACACAAAGAGGACACAACGCATATTAGTGCTTTAATTGGATAGAGGACACTTCAATCTTCATGACCAGATGTTTATTTTGTTTGATCTGGTTTACATGACGATTTGGATCGGGGTGTTTTGAAAATGCAAAAATTCTTAGCGTACCCCTGTTTATATAACAGTAATCTTCTAACTTTAAGTGTGAATATTTTTTCTCTAAAAAATGTTGATTTGTAGATGAAATATGTGGTTATGATTTGCCAAGAAAATAAATGTCTGAACCAACTCCAAATAAACGTTCTCTTACTCCAAACTTTGAACTCTGAGGTGCCAAATCTAATATTCCATATTTATGAGCAACAGTGTATGTTGTAATTGATGAACCTGAAGAGGATACGCATTAGGTTTTAAGGACATTTCTATAAGCCTAACATTTTGCAATAGATTGCCACAAGTTGGAGGGTCATATGATGTTACAAATACGGTAGATACACAAATTTGATGCTACTTAATTCTGCAGATTTGATCGAGAATATCAATTTTTGGCGGTTATTTAATTTGGCAGTTTTAGGACCAAGCTAAGTTTAATCATTGATCTGGAAATAGCACTTTCAGATTCATGTGTAGCCTACAACTTACAGTAAATCTTGGTGTTGCACTGTCTTCGAAATATGAATACATGAACACAAGAGAAATAAATAAATCTGAAAATTGGTGGATTTTTAAATTGGCAGATTTTTCAATCTACCAAATTAAAGTGGGAGCCAAATTAAGTGTATCTACAGTAGTTGTTGCCATTAGAAATAACTTCACAGCAATCTTATGAAATTATTAGACTAAACGTGAAATATATTTGTTTGTACATTGTACAATGTATCTGTACTGTAGAGATAAAAATTGTGTTTACTGAAACCATTTGGAAGCTGCATTTACCAACTTGATGTTGTATGCTTTGTGTTTCTGATATGAATAAGATGATTTTTATAAAATATCACACAATTATTTTGTTCTATTGTTTCATGGTTATGGTTACCCATCTCTTTTACAGTATAAAGTGTAATTTGACAATCCCTTTTCAACTATATTTCTACAGGTTTGTGTCATTCTGATATTTTGAGCTTTTAGAATATTGGCGGAGTCTCACATACAGTAGCTGTTTCACAAGTCAAAGTGATCTATATGGTAAGGTCCTCCAAAAGTTCATTCATAAGTTTATAATGTATTTTCATCTGGACATACAGTAGTCAAGTAGAAGTCAATACATAAGACTGGACTGAAGAGCATTTTTATGAGAATTTATGGATTGTCCCTTGTATATGCAAGTTTGGGTTTTAACATCCCAAAATATTGAAAAATTGTGGGATTTTCATATTACCATAATACATTGCAAGAAACATCTCAGATCTTAAAATTCAACAGATTATCAACAATAAACATAGTTGAACTTTATATACAGGAAAGATGTAGCATTATAGTCCATACACAAACAAAGATATGAATGATCGCTTTTTAAACGAAAATTTATTTCTGGCTAAAATGTTACTACAAACTGTACAAACTAAGTAAATCAATCAGCAGTTCCCTCACAGGCTGAGTTGTTTATAGAGCACCATTTCACATAAGGCACCGTTTCACATAAGGCACCATTTCACATAAGGCAATATCAATAAGGTTAGAAACTTTCTAATACTAAATATACAGTAAAACCTGTCTAGGTGGAACACCTTTGGTACCTCTAAAATTGTTCCACTTGGGAAATGTTCCACCTATAGAGCTTCATATAGAGCATCATTTCACATAAGGCACCATTTCATATAAGACACTATTTCACATAAGGCACCATTTCACATAAGGCAACATCAACAAAGTTAGAACTAACTTTCTAATACTAAATATACAGTAAAACCTGTCTAGGTGGAACACCTTTGGTACCTCTAAATTGTTCCACTTGGGAGGTGTTCTACCTATAGAGCTTCATTTAGTCAGTTGGTCTTGGGACTATGAAAATGAAGAGTTCCACTAGCAGAGGTGTTTCGATCCTAGGGGTGTTCCACTTAACAGGTGTCAATGTATTTAAATACATACACATAAATACTTTTATTTAGAACCAAGTGGGTTTGTGGTAAAACCAAAGATCATTTTGCTTCATTAATGAGAAAACTGTTATTAGAACAACAGTTAAGACAGCCACTAATCTACATGTAGGAGATCACCTAAACAATAGGGAGTTCAAGCTTGCAATGTTTTTCAAAACCTAAACATGAACAGAAAATATATAAGTGATGAATTTGTATGGGCAATTGGTCATACATGTACGTATGGTTGGTGTCTCGATTTTATATGCAAGCTCAAACTCCCTATTATTAATGAAGTAAAATCTCCATGGAATATGAGATAAACTGGAAAAAACTCTCTGAAAAAACTAAAATATCTAGTTGATATTTTCACTTTACAGCTCAATATGTTCTGCATTTTGATAAGCACCATATGAAAGCTATGACTATAGATGGCAATGCCAGGGCATAGCAAATCCCATTGAATCAAATCATTCATTGGGGCCACCCAAGGAGGGGGGGTAGATAAAATTTCTGCCAGAAGTTGAAAACATACACTGCATATCTGCAAGTGTATTTCATCTTCTATAACATACAAGATCATGGAATCTGACTGTCATTCAAAATAGGGCATTTTGAGAACTCTTCAATTTATCGATTGTGAGTTGAAATTATTTGACCAGAAATGTATATATGGGATACTTTTCACAGCATTCAGTCTGTCTTGTGATGATAAATGAAGCCCGTCATGCTACAAAAAATTGAGATTCAAATATTTAATAACAATACAATCACCAGTCACCACCTGTTATTGGAAGTTGTAGGAATTTGTTACAGACGCCAAACCTCGAACGCCAAACACTGTCCACAAAAGTTGGAGACTTATAACATTATGTTACCACTTCTGGTGGTGACATAATAATAAGGATATTTCTAGTAAGGGGTTCAGTCATTGCAGCATGGATATATTGCAGCTGCAGCAAAGGATATATTGCAGCTGCAGCAAAGGATATATTGCAGCTGCAATAAGGATATATTGCAGCATTCACACACAAAGCATCAGCTGAAAAACAAAATACATGTACAAACAAAAATGCTTAAGACATAGAGACAACTGTTATTGCATATTGCAGGACACTGTGAAATCTGCATACAAATAAAAATGTGACTGGCCTTAGACTATTGCAAATCATATAATTATGAAAATATTGCAATAAATATTAGTAGCTTACAGTTGACTGGCACTTCAGTTCTCAAAATATATGATGTAAATATTGAGGTAGACAGAGTAATATTTAACCTACATCTTTTACACGGTGTTACATCATATATTCAAAAGATTGTCATACTACAGTGGTCTCCCCAGGATATTTTCTCAAGCATGTGGTCAATCCCCATTCTATGTATTTTGGTCAAAATATATCAATATTTCACACTTTTGGCAGAGTGCTAAAATTTTCAACTAGCTAGGGGCATGTGATTTTTAGATTTTCAACTAGGTGGTGCCCCCAGTTGCTCTTGTGCAGGGGAGATTATCTGTGGAGATCACTGCTTCTATGGTCTACCTTAGAAAATCAAAGGTTATCTAAGAAAAATATATTTGAACACTTTCTTACATGTATGTTGTGTCATATACTCGTATGTATGTGGTTTCACACTGGCTTATTATTTTGGAATGTTATTTCACCACATGTAATAACATCATTGAATGAAATATACAGTTAGGGACAAGGATCATTCTGATTTTTCTAAAGCTTGTGAGAGTCTCACACAGACTGTTGATCCCACAATGGACTAAGATCATTAGCACCATTTGTAAATAATACTGGCATATTTCACTGATATGGCCTCAACAAATATCCATACAAACATCCATGGTTATAAATAATCAGTTTGCATTTTATGGTAGAACACCACAGTCTAATCAACACTAATACAATATTTTGTCTAGCCATAATTGTCGCCCGATTCCCTGAATGATCGAGGCAGAAGTCACTTGGATTAATACGTCTCGGACTCTAGTTCTACTCCATAGTCCATGATGTTATTATCTTTCCGTGCTTGTTTTAGAAGCTGACCAAACATGTTTTCTTATCCAGTTGAAAGTGTGATTAAAGTCAGTCACCATGTAATTTATGTAAAGGTTATAATGTAAGTTTTTCACACATGAAAATTGATGAACTTCAACAACATTTACTTTCTATCTTCCAACCAGATCTGTGATTGGCTTTTCATGGCAGCTGTATTTCTTAATGTCCTCATATTCGAATAAAGAGGATGTGTTTTCTTTTCTTCATAGAAGATCAGATCTTTAAAATGGTGAGTAATTTCCTGAATACTCCATTGCTGTTTTCCTTTGGAAAAGTTCCAATACAAGTTGTGCTTTACCTGAAAACTTTCTAAGTGGTGGGTTACCTACTAGATATAGTATCTACCAAACATCTTCCATGGCATTGTCATTGTTATTTTCCTCCTTGGTGACATTGTTATCATTATCGTTAGTATCACTGACACTGTCCCCATACTCCTTCAGTGAAGCACTACGACAGTTAGGACAAACCTCAAGATCCATCAAGTGTATAACATTTGGGTGTTGGACACACATTGTCCGGATGCGGCCGTTTAACATGTGACCACATGCTTGGCAACCAATCAGCTTCTGTCCACGGTTACAGTTGCATTCTTCGGAGAGTGACGATGTGGAGGAATGGCGAGATCTTGAAGATGTGGACCATACTGGAGAAACTGGGCCACCTGGGCTTGGAAGACTGGATGAATAGTCATATTGTTGAGGACTTGGCTGACCATGCCCTCCTGGACTCACTGGTGATACTTGGCACTGAAAATACAAAGATGATAGAATAAATGCACTGCTAAGATGGGACTACATTGGAAAGACTTAGTGAGGGAATGATACTAGAGAAGAGACCACACTTGTGAGATGGGACCACACTGGAGAAACTGGGCATAACTTGGCCTTTATGGAACTTTTTAGGCCATATTTTTGTAATATGGGCCTTAAATTTTCAAAATTTGGGTTTTAAGGGTACAAAAGAATTTTCTCCGCAAGCGCCGACATTTTTTCGCCAGTGTGTCCATACTGGTAAGACTGGCTCATCAGCCTCAACCACACTTGAAAAAACAGGAAGAATGGTCACTATACATGTATAGAATTAATATGAAATTGGCATTGACAAAAATGAACAATAGAAGATAATATTAATTAATATCCTCAATACTTTTCTAAATTCTTATCTGGTTTCCTATAGAAATTGAAAAGTATACATCACTCTTTTCAACATTATGATTCTTATTCTTTAAATAGGAGCTAGTATTCTAGTTTCTGGGCCTGAGGGTGAATTTTACACTCAAAATTATACTTGAGAGATCAATAACAAGATAAAATTTCATGTTTGTCATAATTATGTAATTACATATAAGTTTGGATAATTATCAAAAGATAACACAAAGCATGATCAAAGTAATAGGCAAAATAAAACCAAAATGCTCCTCAATGTAGACTAATGCAATTAGGTGCACCTCCTAAAATGTTGCAATGAAAGATAAAGAAATTCTAGAATGTTGCACAAAAAATTACGAAATTACAAAGTGTAGCACAAAAAGATACAAGGCACTAACATGACAAAATGTCACCACCTAGTTGCTCACAATATTATGAGTTCAATATATTATTCTTTAGTTTTCACTTTTGACCTCGAGAAGGTCAAAACTTTTTTTGACCTTGAGAATGTCATTGAAGGTCAAATCTTTAGTCAGATTTGAACTTTTGATAACTTGTAGATGATTTTGAAAAACAAGTGGTCAATTTGAAGCAAGTTGAAAATGACCTTTTTGACCTTGAAAATGTCATTAAAGGTCAAATCTTAACTAGAGTCAGATTTGAACTTCCGAAAACTTGTAGATGATTTTGAAAAAAATTGAAGTCAGTCAAAACAGTATTTGTGAAGTTATTGGAAGTTGTAGGAATTTGTTACAGATGCCTATTGCCAACCGCCATAAAAAAACATAGAGCATAACAATATGTCACTTTTTGGTGGTGACAATGTCATAACAAAATGCTAAATTGTTGCACTAAAAAAATAACAAAATCTTCCTCATAAAAAAATCCTGGGGAGGGCACTGGTATGAGTTCATCTTGTGCTGATGGCTGCATGCAACATTCTGGTCGAATTGATTATTGTACCACTACAGGCCCATTGCCAGGATTTGCCAAGGGGGGGGGTTCACTTTTTGAAAAATTCCAGGGGGGTTAACTTTTGACAATTTTGGTCCAAAAAAGGCCAAAATCACATAAAAAGTGCTTGGCATGGTGAAAAACTGCATGATTTTGAAAGAATTTTTGGCCAGTGAGGGGGGTCGACAGAACCCATTGAACTTCCCTTTCTACGGGCATGCACTGTAACATTTTTCTCAATGGAACCCACACATCCTTCCTTACTAAATGTCCTACTGCTTTACAAGCATTTTCATAGGGAAATTAGCCAACTGACCATGATTATATAATCTTGAAACAACAAAAACAATGGCAAAAAGAAAGGTCTAATAAAAAAGGAAAAATTTCAAAAAGACATTGAAAAAGATACTAATGTGAAACATTAATGCTAAACGGAGAACTAATTTGTGAGGGCCTTGTGACAATTATGAAAAGTTACTCAAGTGCAGACATAATATTTCTTATCAAAACAAAAACAAATGGCAATAGTGAATGATACTGATAGCACAATAATTGGCTAAAGTGGATAATATTTGTACACCTGTTTGTATGACATGCAATAAGAAATACTCCCACACCTCCTTCATTCTAATTGTACCCACATAGGTGTATCTAAATAGGACATAGATAGGACATTAATAAGGTGTTAATCTTATCTAATAGCACTTTGAGATAAGATAAAATACATGTAAGAGATGGAAGGGCAAAAGCAGATTCACACCCCTTCATAAAAAAATAAAATCATCAGTAAGTTGCTTTTGGACTTGGAGTATATGATGCAAGAAGACAAAAACAGACACAGATTCCCCCACCCCTTTCCCCATTTGAAAACCATTCACATATTATCAAGAACAACAAATTGTTAGTAATTGAAGATATTCAAGAGGTAGATGTAAAAGTAATTGTAAACAATAGTGCACTCAGAAGTCTTGCTAAAAGCCCTTGTAACACCCCCCCCCCCCATCTTCCCACAAGGTGGTGTTGATGATAGGGAGGGGAGGGGGTCCAGAGACTTGAAGCAAGACTGAAGTGGCACTCAGTTACCCTTTGTTATGAGATGCAAAATCTATGAAAGTGAGCGCACTATATCATTAGATAAAATTCAAACGTCAAATAAGGACTTTTCTAGCATGACTGAGGAAAACAAGTTCCTATACATTATGTCATAAAAATCAAATATGGAAGGCGTCCTGCATTTCATTGACATGTGCTTTAAGAAAAGAAATCTATAACATCGCAACCATTACAACACAATATCTTTGTAGATTAATGTGACATAAATGTTACTGTATGAAATGCAGTTTGTATAATTGTAGTCTGGCCATGCCCTGATAACACAATTGGCCTTAATAAATTCTAAATTCTAAATTCTACAAATTCTAAACTAATGCTGAGGATAGTACTGACAACAGTTATCCCTTTGTATGTCATATTACTGTGTTAGAATGTACAGCTTACAGTGGGATTGCATATAAAACCAGATTATCTTTTCACACCTCATCAAATGAGATTAATGGCCAGATAATGTTTCAACTGGCCAGACATATGATACCACAAATATCTAAAATTCTAACAAGGAAATAATCTCATTGCAATAAATAGCTAGGCACTGTATTTGGATAGAAATACTA